TTTTTTTTTCCACCACCATGTCCCTTTAGGGGCTCCGTATGTTTCTGTGTATCTGTGCTGTTGTCCAGTTGGAATTTTCACTCCAAAATGGCGGCCGCGCTACCGAAGCGCCACCTAGTGGCTGTTACCCAAAAAACATCAGAGTTTCGCCTCTTGGTCTTCTATACTCTGCTTAATATTATAATATATGCATCTATATACACTACCATTCAGAAGTTTGGGGTTGGTGATTTATTTATTTTTCTTCTGTTTTTGTTTCGAAAGAAATATTTCATGCTCACCAAGGCTAAAAACAGTAATATTCTGAAATATTATTACAATTTAAAATTACTGTTTTCTATTTCAACATATTTTAAAATGAGTTTCCTGTGATTTGGGGTTGGTGATTTATTTATTTTTCTTCTGTTTTTGTTTCGAAAGAAATATTTCATGCTCACCAAGGCTAAAAACAGTAATATTCTGAAATATTATTACAATTTAAAATTACTGTTTTCTATTTCAACATATTTTAAAATGAGTTTTATTCCTGTGATGGCGAAGCTGAATTTTCAGCAGCCATTACTCCAGTCTTCAGTATCGCATGATCCTTCAGAGATCATTCTATGCTGATTTTTTTGCTCAAGAAACATTTCTTATTATCAGTGTTGACAACAGTTGTGCTGCTGAATATTTTGTGGGAACCGTGATACATTTTTCAGGATTATTTGATGAACAGAAAGTTCGAAAGAACATCAATTATTTAAAATAGAAAATGTTGAAAAACAATGTAAAAGTATTTACTGTCACTTTTGATTAATTTAATGTGCATCCTTGTTGAAAAAAAAAACAGTAAAGTAGTACAAAGAGCCTCTGTCCCTGTGAAAGAATCACACGGTTAGAGATTTTTCCCCCTTTAATAAGTAACTAAGTAAGCTGAGCTGAGCAGCAAGAAATTCGCAGCATATGGTTCAGTACTTTCCCCCCAATAGCTGGTGGAAGGGATAATCTGTTCCTATTCATGCCTTTACATATCTGTTGTTCTTAGGAATATTGTAAAATAGAAGCCTTTGGCCTTTATACTCTAGACCTAATTAGGGTTGGAGCTAAACTCTGCAGGACAGTGGCCCTCCAGGGCCGAAGTTGCCCATCCCTGCTCTAGATTGTTATAAAATACAACAATGCCTTACAATAATCCAGTCTGATTTAGTTATAAACGACATGTGCCTTGAATTGTCTTCCTGTTGTAAAGCATTTCTTGTGAAAATATTTCATCTGTGTTTTGTGCCTGGCAGAGGCCTTTGTGACGATGAGGACAACCTGAAGATTGTCTCTTTGACCCATCATCTCAGAGGGCTGTTGATGTGATTCCTTGCATATTGAAGATGTTACTAGCACTCATACTTTAGACATACGGGTCTATTATGATCTTGAACACCCTTTTAAATCAGATGATATAGATTCATGTCTTGTTAGCCTACTTGGAATTCTAAAGTCATTTGGCCTGATAGGAACAGAACTCTTGGTAGGCTAATGTTTTATAATAGCTTTATTTAGTAATTAGCAATCATTATAAAATGAAGTATAAACATAAATAAGAACATGAATTATTTTTTTTAATTAATGAAAGTTACAATAAAGTAGCCCATGTTCTACTATTAATAGTGCGATTTTGTGCAGCATATTGAATAAACACCATCGCCTGTGTTACACCCACTTTTGTAGCTGTTCTTTATAAAGAGCAGATAGCCTAATGTTCCATCGTAAACTGACCCGGGTACAGTAGGTTCAGCCGTACAGATGCGCCGCCCTCTGCTGAACACAATAAACGCGGCTGGCGTGTTCCGCTATTCTGAACCTTCTGAACAAACGATTTTATGTAAGTATTAGACAAGATATGCAGTGCGTTAATATGGTTCCCGAATGGCTGCGTGACTTTTACAAACAGACTTCCGAATGTTTTTACATTTGTTGTGTGCACGCGAACAACTGTCTAATCATAAACAAACGGTGCTTTAGTCTCGTAAAATGAAAATGTTGTAGTAATCTCTATAAACGTGGAGCTAGCTTTAAACTCATTTATTCCCACCGGTAACATTTGTGACTGAAACTTTTGAGTTTAGAGAGTCTAAAAGTAGTCGTCTTCATGTATTTTAAACCGACATGTCAACTATCAGTGAAAGTGCACATTGTTTAGAATTTTTTTTTGGTTCGTGAATGCTAAATGGTCACGTGACCAGAGCTGTCTACCCTAATAATGTCTGTAAAAACTCCATAGAGCATGTCACAATACAGATACATATCACGTTTAAAGGCTCTTTTATTAATTAGGTGACCAAATTCTGCAGTAAGGTGACCAGTAATGTCTATCATGAACCACTGTCTAGTAATTTTTTAATATTAAAGGGGTCATATGATGCGATTTCAATTTTTCCTTTCTCTTTGGAGTGTTACAAGCTCTTGGTGCATAAAGAAGATCTGTAAAGTTGCTAAAAGTCTCAAATCCAAAGAGATATTCTTTATAAAAGTTAAGAGTCAGCCACACCTACCTAAAACGGCTCGTTCTAACACACCCCCACATACCTACGTCACGATCTCGGAAGATTTGCATAACGCCGCCCAAATATTCA